ATATATATATATACACACACACATACACATACACACACACACACATACACATACACATACACGAGAGAGAGAGAGAGGGAATGAGCATTAAATGAGCATAGAAAACCTCTCTTTTCCAGAGATATTTCTTTGCATTTGGGGTTTAGGCACTAATGGGTTGACATGGAAAAGTTTCTCTCAAGCTATCTCGATTATGTATATTAAACACCTATTTACTAAGGCCATCAGTAAAATGAAACAGATTTATGTTGATACCCGACACATCTTAGTGGCAGGGAGAGATGTAATTGGTCGTGTTAATCTGAAGTCAGGCAGAAGGCAGGGCAGAACAACATCTTAGAGACTAACTGGTTCAGAAAAGCATAGGCTTTCATTGGTGATGTCTACTTTGTCAGAAGCAGTAAAGTAGCTATTGCCTGCAAAAGCTTATGGCTCTGTGAACCAGCAAGTCTCTAAGGTGCCACCTGCTGCCCTGCCTTCTGCCTGACATCTTCTCTCATTATTAAGCTTCACTTCCATCTAAAACTATTCACATAAAAAAATATCTTCAGTCACAATATTTAATTCTGTCACATTCTGGTGATACTTCCATCATTTTGCTTTCTCTGTTTCACCACAATGAAATTGCAGTAAAATGAACCTGCACCCCCATTGCAGCTCTCCTAATATGTATGCTAAGTTAATAAAGCATTTGAAAAACAAAGGAGATGGAGAGAATGGTGACAACACTGCAATAATGATGTTGGGATAAAAATGAAAGGGAATGTTTTACTGTTGGTTTGTTTAGTCGGTTTTTGGGTTCGTTTTTTCTTAACTGCAGAATGTATTAAGATCTCATTACTGTATTCTCCCATTTGCTTCTAGGCACCTGAATTTCAGCCCTGGATGTGTTATCCTAGGCACACAAAGATTTGATATGCTTTGACACAAACCTAAATCAATGTAATCTGGACAGCAATTGAAACACCCTTATATTAATGAAGTACAGAATGCTTTGGAAAAATTTCACATTCATATCAATTTTGCTATTGACCATTATAATATAGTCCATGAGTCAAAATATTAGCATATTTGTGCCTACCAAATAAACTCAGGAATAGACCATAAAGCATGGTTTAGGAACAATATTTTAAGACTAACTAGTTTTAATTACTGGACTATTAGGACTGAAAAAATAAGTTACATTTCTCCCTACTACACTGCGGAGTAGTTAGCAATGCTTTGCCACAACCCAAATTGCTACACTGTGAATTGAAAAAAATGCAAAACCAAGCATAAGAGTAGTCAAAAGACAAACACAGAGATATTATTTTTGCTTAGATATATTTTACCTGCTAGCAGGTACAAAATTAATGCATACATTAAAATCTCCGTAGAAAGGGGGCAGACAAAATCTCAGCCCTGCAATTTTTATTAAATATAAAAGGGAATGCTCCCTGTACCATTATGGTATTTTGTTAAAGATTCAGGTACTTTAGGAGACACTAGAGGGCAGTACAGCATTATTTCAATTCCTAAAGTGACTCCTTTGGATTTTTTACCACCTTAATTACACAGTAATTACAAAATTGCTCATTTCAACTCCTTGAGTTAATGTTTCTAAGAAACTAGTCAAGCATATGCTGCATATTGAAAAGAAAGCAAACTCTTTTACTACTGACCAGCATACAATTGGAAATGAGAGCAGGAGAATAGAACAGGAACAAACATTAATGGAATGATTACAGCACTCGTATGTCTCTGTTTTCATTGTTTTAATAGTCCATAATAAAAGCCAGCCTTAGCAGAATCTTTAAACTTACATCTTCAATATATGCAAATTAATCCTCTCTCAATCCCTAAGCAAATCCTG